ACTGAACTCTGTGACGCGTTGGACACTGTAAAGAGCACTGAGAATGAACTAAACCGAACTCATGGTGAAATAAGTGACAGGATTAAAACCAAAATAGAAAGTGTTCTTCATCGGAATGCTGGTTATTCAACATTATGCAAGATTACAGATATACCTTCCGGTAAACTAGCAACATTCGAAGATGATAAAGAACTGTCACCAAACGACTTGACATTCTTCAAATATGCTCCTGTCACATCATGTGATGTGGAACGAAGTTTTTCCAAATACAAAACTATCCTTCGTGATAATCGGCGATCTTTCAAATTTGAAAATTTGAAAATGCATGTAGTTATAAATTGCAATTGTAACAGTGAAAACCGAGACGTGAATAACTCAGTGAAAATTTTGAGCTTGTGTTCTTTTAAATGGTGTTTTTAGATAACAGAGTTAAGTTAGTGTTCATACCATGTGCACCAGTGTTTGTCTAAAATATGAACGCAAATATCAGTATTAAAAAGAAAACAATGAATGGTTTAATCCAGTATGAAATGTCGAAATTCCATCAGTTTTCTTTCCTTCAGAGACATAATAGGGCTAATTTGGTAAGTAGGACCTACTATCATATATTTATCATCTTTATTCTTAAATTCTAGTAAAAGTTGTAATTAAAATTGTGAAATTTTATGTCCCATTTAATATTTAAGGTCATATTTTACACTTTTTAGGTCATAAGTGCATGCATATATTTATAGTTTTTAGGTCATAAAAATCCAGGCCCTATTTATTACCCATCGATTTACAGCAGACCTATCAACAGCATTGTCACCATAAACAGCCTTTAAACGACGATGAATCTCAGTAGGAGTCACTTTTTCAGCAGTTAAAAATTCGATAACAGAACGCTGTTTATCTCGCGTTGACGTAGCACTAGAACACGTCTCCATACTTCCGCTTCTCGAAATACACTGGATGAACGCAACGACCTCAAACCTGCGCATGCATATTGAGGGGGAATGTTACTTCCACATGCCACCTGGCGCGCTTCTGAAGATCATTTCGTTTGCGCTCTACAAGCATGTGTGCATTACTTTTCAGCCTACCTACGTACTTTTCTGCTCCAGATTATACCAAACTTTACATCAGAAACTAATATGTGTGGTTTTCATAAGGTAATAAATTATAAAGTTTAAAAAAATGTCAGAAATTTCTGCATCCCTTCACACTGTGTTGCCCTGGCCTGGGTAACCTTGCTTCTGTCCTGGCTCTGATGGGAAATGGTGGACAAAACTGTACACACTCTTACATAAACACTATTTTCTCCAAATTAAGTGTACTTTCTGGGTGGAGATCATCAATGTATTAAGAAATTTTTCCACCTTAAAAAAAGGACAAAAATTCCTACATCTGTATTACCCACTATTAACACAAGTGATAATATTCACGATGCTTATAACTGGTAAAGCTACATCACGATAAAGTATGCACAAATGATATACACACGCATAAAAACTTCCTAGAAGTTCATCAATACATATTATTTAGGCACCACCAAATGTTAAATAAAATGTGACACAATCATGCAAAACAAACACTTTGATATTTCATGACTATCCAATGGGATGGCATATTCCATATAAATATCTCATTGAGAACACTTTGTAACCTCAGTTACATGAACATGTAGCATGCTTTTCCATACATTTTTCTATAACACTGTGTAATATTCATGAGAATCCTGCTGTGTATGCATATTCACATATCTTACACGATTTTGAAAATAAAATTCATGTGAATGTATTATAAACAATTTGAGATTAATGTTAAAAATTCTACTGTTTTACTTCTGTATTGACCTTGTTACAGGGAACATTTTCTTCTTTCACTGAATAAACCATACAACAGAGTAAATGAATATTCAAGTACTCAATTTATTGAGACTATAAACTGTGAAAACATTGAAAGCTTTATTCACTAATTAATAATAAAAAATTAGTTTTTAAATTACACATATATGTACAAGCAGACATCAAATTACATGCATGCTCATGTTTAATAAATGTAAATATTGCACATATAAACTACACATTAGCACACCCTAGTTCAGAGAATGTTACATCATGAACTGAGTACCACTTGATTTGTAGGTATCCTATCCAATTCAGTATATGCTAAGTTTTATTATATATATCAAAACAGAATTCACCATGTATCTATTCATAACCATTTCAAGCATCAGTTTGAACATTCTGTAATTTGCTACCATTCAGTATTCAGTAATTTAAATGTTAGTGTTACATTTAAGAGAGGGTTACAGAAAAACACACACTATGGGAAAGTCAGAATTCAGTGGCTTAACAGCACAAAATACCAGTGTAGAATGAACATGAATGATCTGGAGACAGCAAAATTTGTCACTGAACTTGAAGTGAAAAAACAGACCTGTCATCTCTTTATCTAGTAAATATTGTGATTAGTTGGTTGAGGCAACTATGCTACAAGCTGGAAGGTTGCAGGTTCAAATCCCAATGAGATCAAAGGATTTCTCAATTGACCTAATTCTTCCAGCCGCACAATGACCCTGGGGTCGACTCAGCCTCTAACAGAAATGAGTACCAGGAGTCTTCCTGGCAGGTAAAGTGTGGTTGGCACATAAGGCTGACAACTTCACGCTATCTGTGAGCAGACTGTCTAGAAAATCTGGGAGCCTCAACTTCTCACATCCCAATTGGCCTCCAAGGCCTCTTACATGGACAGTTTTACAGAATAAATCTAAACTTCACACAGACTATTGTTTCACTGTTTTGATGAACTCCCTGACCTCAGGAAGCAGATCTCCAAGATCCTAGTCACTAGATACTGAAATGACAAATCAACAGTGGGTAGGTTCACAAGATCTACTGCTACATTCAGTATTAAGAATAATCAGTAGTTCAGAGTAGCTGCTACAGCAGCATTTCCTATACAGAAATTTCACACTTTCTGTTAAGACAAATTCACACAACATAGGTTAATTTAAAAACTACTAAAACAAAGAATTTCCCCCACAGTGAAAAAATATCAAGTGATAATGTTACATCTAGAGGCATGCCTCTGTCCAACAAGAGCTGATAATGTTGGTGATGGCGACAACACTTATAATAATTTGCAGTGTTACTGAAAAATGAGCAGGTTTTGTAGTTTTGCAATCTACACTATCTTACTATAATTAGATTCACGAGCTCTTCCATACAAGACTGTTGCAGGTCCAGGGACTTCTAAAATGTACTAAGCCAGTAGTCAAATTGTGGGTCACAATATGAATTTGTATTATGCTGAGTTACCGTGAATCACAATCACTTAGGTTCCAGGATATATTTATTCTTAGAAGAACAAATATTTGCTATAGCAATGAATGCAATAACATAGCAAAGAATTTTCTCTTTCAAAATTAAAATATTAAAAGATGTTGGGCAAAAATCAGGAAAATATTTGGATGTACACTAGTTTCACCAGACATATTCAAGCAGTAAAGAGGTTAAACATTATAACCAGGAGTGGAAATGGCTTTTCACAACAAGGTCACCACTACAGATCTGTACACAAATCTGAAAAATAGTCTCCACACACTGTAAGTGGAATTATTACAATGCAGGTCCAGGAATTCGTTCCTACATGTATCAGTGTTATGAATGATATTCATGATGGTTTAAGGTAATGGCAAGTTCAATTAAACAAGGAGCTCTGGAGCTAAACAGTGTCTACACCCATTTCCAGTCCTGATTCTTAAGTTAAGGAAAGTTTCACACATATCAATTTCTGACCGAGCAACTGACCGTCTGCGAAACTCTCCGCAGACCAAAGCTAAATTTGCGGCCCACACTTCCTCCACTCCCTTCAGCAGCGGGTGCAGTAATGGCAATGGTAGGCACTGGCAGATGGAGATGAGAACCAAAAACATGGTGTCCTCCAGTGGGTCCATTTGCGGTGAATGTGCTCCTCACTCCCGCAGTCCAAGTAGCAGCAGGTTCTGGGATGTGCAAGTGAAGAAATGACGATGCTCTACGACGACGTCGTTCGTTGCCATTTTCCGATGCAGAGGGAGTGTTATCATTGGAAATGGACATCCTATACGTCACTGATAATCTTTACCAGTGATTCCAGTGTTCCTTTACCTTTCATCCCATATCTAGTAGCAATAATATATTGTGGAGCTGACAGCTGTCCAAAGGGAAATCCTTCAATGGCCATCTAAAAACGAATGTATGCAATGATCTCATTCATTATGAGACTGTTAACTAGTTTTTCAAACAGGATGAGCATAAAGTGTGAAAACCTTACTGCAGCCACAGACCCACACCCACATAGTGAGAATGTTAACTACTTTTCAAACAAGAGCATCGTAAAGTGTAACATCCTTGTCATTGCCACACAACTAAGAGGAATGCCCTTATATGAATATGAGGGAGAACCATGGCATCTCAGCTGCTCCTGGTGACACAGTTGTAAACGATATTTTGAATGGCAATTACTTATATTTCTTCTTTACTGTCCTTGTTTTGTCAGGACAGCTCAGACAGTATAGTCATTAGGCAATGGGTTCAGTGACTAGAGTTTGGTTCTTGGTACAGAGTTTTCTCTTTGCCACTGCGTCTATATTGGCTCTGGAGCTCACCCAGCCTTTCATCCAGTGAGCACAGGGGGTGTAAATCAGTCAGGGTGATATCCATTTAGTGCTGAAGATAAGAATATGCGAAGCTACAGGCCTCCCTCCAATTCCCTGTATGTCTTCAAAGCATATGTCCAATAACACAGAGGGAGAACTTCATATGAGTGATACTTTGGCAGAATATAATTCTGTTATGTACTTTAATAAATATATGTGTGTCACTTTACTGTTGGGGGAATGCGTATTGTGGACTTGGGGTATGATGATTTGTTTTATTACCATTTGATAATGTTAATGCAGGGGCTTATAATTGGACTGTTTAAGCATCTCAAACATCATATTACAGAAAATTTTTGAAAGTGTTTATGCTTTGACTTTCACACTCTCAAGGTTCAATGTATCTCATCACTACATATGACTGACACCTTTCACTTGTTAATTTACAAGAGCCATCATACATCTGCCGAACGCATGACAATGACAAAATATTCGACAAGAGTTACTGATTATAATGTCATATCTACAAAGTGAAGAGTAGAATATAATTTTAATATTTTTAACGTTTGACAATGTATATGATAGATACATATTTTAGTTATTTTAATGTGTGAACATGGCATGCAATGAACTGGTTTGACGTGGATAAGTAAGCACCTGAAGATGGCATTATTATGCCGAAACATGTAGTGCGAGGGAGAGAAGGAAATAAATGAGTGTATGCACTGCAAGACGGATTAAATAAATCAAGAATATAATTCATTATGACATTGTTTCAGAAACACTGGTAATAAAAGTATATGTGTTAAATGTATTTTCAATTGTGTAATGTACATCATTACTGCAACAAGCTTCAATGCAAGAAGTTGAACTGTATGAACCATTTTTTTCTAACCGAAGTGAAAAGTAACAATCTGACAAATTCATTCTTCTGGAAGTATCCTCTAACCACTAAATGAAAAACACCCAGATGGCAGAGTTATAACATACTATGTCTAAATTCATCTAGGAATTTCTCAAGAAGTATTTATGAATCTGTAACGCAAACAAAGGCCAATAAAAGATTATGAAATTATACAGTTGCCTTACTCAGAAGTGAGTAACAGATTTTCAACATTAGATCTCCAGTCAAATGTGTGTATTATCTTCTATAAGTCAAGCAAAAACTTCTCAATGAGCCCATGATAGCCATGACTCATATGTGATTAAAAAATCCTGAACAGCTTAAAATTTAGAAATGTCATGCCAGGTATTTGAGTGCAATGGTGAAAGGGGATTTTTAGAATTAAGAGTGCTGTTAACTGTAGGTCAAATACTGACAAACTACAGTGGATGATGCCAGTTTTTCAAGTGGCTGAATGCAAAAACGTGCAAAATATATAGCTCTATCATACAGACAATTCAAGACTACGTACAACATGTTGTCTAGCTATATGTATATGATATGTTGTTCTTATGCCACAGTTGTTTTCGTGTATTTACACAGATCACAGCTCTGTATTCGAAGCTGTAACTTAATTTGCTGTTTTATTGGAGAAACGCCAGAATCAGAGAGAGAGGTGTCAAAGAGCTAGAAGAAAGGAAGATGGAAATACAAAAGAAATGATTTCCAGTCGAATTTAAAAGGATTTTTCCATTTGTACTACTACAATTGTCACAATGATGTGATATTTACTGAAGGGCAGTGTGTACATTTGATTAACAGCCAGGGCCACTAAGTGCAGATTTCAAAAACTGGGTCTAAAGATAAAGTCTTTAGTGAAGGCAACTTCAGTTACATGTCAGGATAATATAATGGCACCATCAATTAGGCCTATATTTCGTTTCTATTTTCACGAAACCATGTACTCACATACATAACATCTGGAACTGAAGTAGCTTGAAGAACTGTGTAATTTCTGAAGTAACGATCGCAGAACGGAAAGGGTTTTGAAGTTTAAATTCAGTCACCTTCATTGCGATTATCGGATCTAAATAACTTGGAAAATGCGGCTTAGTACTGTGATAAATATTAAAGTGTTACACCTCTGTGTGTTAATGAAAATAGGATGGAAGCCTATGAAAATTATGATTATATTTGAGGGGGGGGGGAAGAAACTATTCCAAAATATTCTAACATGTACGACTGAAAGTCTCCGAAAAACACCACAATCATACGTAACAGTAAAGTCATGGCGGTAGGCCGCGCCATAGCTCAAGCGGTTAGTCGCTGGCTTCCCACCGCGGCGGCCCGGGTTCGATCCCGGGTCTGATCAAGTGGGATTTGTGGTGGACAAAGTGGCGCTGGGGCGGGTTTCCTCCGAGTACTTCGGTTTCCCCTGCCAATCTTAATTCCACCAAATTCTCCATCATCATAATCACCTGGGGCATCATTCGAGGCATGGATGTCTGTGTGAATTTATTCTGTGTTTGTGTTGTTCTGTGTGCATGCAGCAGCCTTGCGACGGGTTGATCCTCCGTCCAAGGAGTCCTACCGACTGTGTACAGATCAAGAAACTGAAAAAGCGGCCAAGTTCCACAAGGACTGTAGAGCCATAGACAGACAGACGGGCAGATAAATGCCCATTTTTTTTGGCTGTGCTTATTGACCTGCGTTAACTAATTTACACACATTCCTATAGACTACGCTTGCGAACACTAAAATTAGGCAACAATGCTACAGGCTGGCCACGATCTCCGTTGAGCAGAATTCCGCTTATCATCTCGGAATTACGAGCTTGATACACGTCTGGGTTCCCTTTTATACCTCGTTCAGCAACATTTCACTGTAAGACTATAAGTCCCACACAAAAGAGCAACGTTTAACAGCAATGACACCCCGTGACTTCACATGCACACTGAGATAATTACTGCAACTGGTCTAATCCAATTCACGGCATCCTGCCGTTGTTACACAGCTAACTTCTGCTATAAATAAATGACGACCCTGAAAAACAGAAATCACTGTTCATATCATATCTCGACAATAACCTCAGATTTTTAACTCAAGATGTTTGCTACTGATAATCCCTAAGTAATGCTGGCTTATGTTTTTATCCTTAATTTATTGAGTACACCCAATTTTAAAACACATCCAACTAACCAAAATGACACTGGTCTAATCTGTTTGGTTGATTATGTTGTAATGTTGAGTTTGTTACAATGCTCCTTCATTACATATTAATACACTGGAAGTCTCCGGGAGCAGTCACTTAGCCCAACAACGATGGATCAAATAACGCAGCGGGTCACAGTGTGTTGTAATGTTGTGTGTATGTCGAAACACATTAAGAAAGGTTAATAAATAAGAATGGTCGATTGCATGGTTATTAATGACGCAATTTCAACTACAAAGAATAGGCCTATATACAGAGGTGAATAATGAATTAGAACGAATACGTGACGAGGCGCGGCCACTGCCTATTCTAATGTGCTAATCCAGCACATATTTGCAGAAACATACGATAACACTAGTTAGAATGGCAGCTATCTGGACCGCGACTCGAAGCCGGGATCTCCCGCAATACTCGACTGCGACGTTTAGTAATCAAATCCGTTAAACAGCGAATACAAGATTCTCACAAAGGTATGCTGTAAAAAGTTGATGGGCGCGGGGTAAAAAATTCTGAAGTGCATCACTATCAAGCCCACTGTATGTAGGTAAAAGGTAAGGTAAAATTGTCCTTGTGCTTAACTAATTAAGCACTACGCCATGAAGGCGTATGGCGGGGTGGATGTACAGATCCAAGTGTTCTTGACTTCGGCACTAGTTGGTGGTGAGTGGTCAGTTCACGTCCCGGCCGTTTTAACCCAGGGGAAAGAGGCCCCGGTACCCATTGGATAGGAGGCTGGGTGGGCCGCAGAACCGGTCTGGACGACATGGAGAAGTGAAAATTCTTGCCCCTACCGAGAATCGAACTCCAGACCCCCGGTCGTCATGCCCGTAGCCAGTAGCTATACCGACTGCGACAGGTAGGAGTGGAAAATGGTAGGGAGGTAATGTCCCCATTGACTTTCGTTATCACAATCTCAACATTTCGGCTGCAACCATGATGATATTTATGTTTCGTGCAGCTCACACTGTTTAACTGTTTCAAACTCCAACAGGAAAGTTACATTTGTTTATCACTCAGGCAGTCGTTATACAATCAGCAAATCCACATCGCACACCGTAACGCGTTTGCCGGTCGCCCTTTGTTCCGTGGCTGAACGCGGTGACTTACAAAAGCAAAATCATTATCTTACTGGGTTTCACGAAAAAAGTCATCCAAAACTTGTTTGGGGGATATAAAATGCTTATTTTAGGGCCCCTTTCAAGAAAAACAATTCATTATACTTTTTGAAATCCGTAGGTGAACGATGTCTTCTGAACAGTGCATATGAAGGAGAATAAAGTGACCAGTCTTGTTCCTTCCAAGTACAGGGCCTACATTTTAATTTACAACCCTAAGCGTTCCTATATCGTGATGTCTGCTGAACTCATTGTGGAAAAAATGTGAAACTGGAAAATACTACAAGCGTAACCATTTAGAATTACGAAGATCAAATAATCACGCAACTGTAACCTTTGAAAATTTTATTTTTATTTATTATATAGAGTAAAGTG